TCTTTCTTTCTTTCTTTCTTTCTTTCTTTCTTAAAAAAAAAAGAAACTTACTGACCCCACACTTTTAAACAGTAGTGTATGTTACACGAGCTTTCTATTTCAGATACATCCTGTTCTTTTGAACGTTGATCTATCTATCTATCTATCTATCTATCTATCTATCTATCTATCTGTCTGTCTGTCTGTCTGTCTGTCTGTCTGTTATTATTATTAATAATCATAATATTAATAATAATTCTTATTTTATATTATTCATTTAATGGTAACACTTTAATATAAGGCTTAATTTTTAAAATTAATTTAATGCATTAACTAACAATGAACAATATTCATTTTATTGCATTTATTAATTGAGGTAAGTATTTATTTATAAATATGTTTTTCATTGTTCAAGTATATTTGCTCATAATACATTAATATTAATTTATACAAGTTGGATATACAAGTTACATGATGCCTAAACCATTAACAAATTTTAACCAATTGAACCTTATTGCAAAGTGTCACCATCATAAAATTTGCATTTCAATTGCATGTGGATGAATAGTTTTGTTATACAACAGGAGGTGACAGGAGATTTGAGGTGGACAGGAAGAACGGTCATGTGCGGATGACAGGCCTCCCCCTGCAAAGAGACAGAGAATACCTACTCACAGTGGTGGCTGTTGATCGGCAGGGCAGCCGCAGTCCTCCCGCTGTAGTGTCTATCATCGCAGGCCCAAGAGCTCCTCAGTTCACCAACGTGTCTTATACAATTTCCATACCAGAAAACACACCAGAAGGGCAACCGTGAGTAAAGCCATAACACACACACACACACATAAACACACACCCAATCTAGTAAATGCAGCAAATCTTATTTCCATAGTGTAATTCTAGCACGCCCTAAATGCATCTCCCACACCGTGAGAACACCGCTTATCCATCAGGATAACAAATAGAAACAGGATCATACTGCACTTACAGCCATCCACGCTCCCTCTGCTTCTCGCTGGAGCATCGCTTGTGTGAGTCATTGTGTACTACACGATGCAAATTTCATGAAATAATGATCTTTGACTATGTCAGGGTACTGTGATATGCATTAAAGATGCATGAACATCAGAATTTTGTTCTGCTCGTATAGCCAGCCCTGAGAGGTTAACCATGCGTTACACCAGGTGATATACACAATAAAAGCCTATATATATATATATATTATTTTTTTTTTTTATTCGCTCTCACACATAGGTGACAAATAGACCCTTTATTATTTTGTCTTTGTACAGTCAGTGTTAATTGTATAGCCCTTTGATATTAGATGAGTCGCTGTGAAATGACTTGCATGATGCTGCTACAGGGAAGAACGATTAGCCGTGCCCTACACAGATGTATTAAATCAGGCTTTGCCTTGTAGCAAATTATCCTAAATCCATGTGGAATAAGTGCCTACTAGATCCATTTGTGGCAGCTGCATGTCATTGAATATGCATTGTATGCTGTGGTGTATATTATTTTCCTCATACACACCTGTGATTCCGCCATATTGTTGCTTTCATTAAACTTAGACTTGGCACTGGCAGCCAAATCTTACTGAATCTGGTTGGCTTCATCCATATAGATATGCAAAAATATGGTTAATGTTAGGATAAGTATATTGCTCATGGCACCAAAGTGGGGTGACGTTAATGTTATCCCCAAATGTTCTGGTCTCTGCCAGACAGCAGAGGCAAACCAAGCCAGCAGGCAACCTCTGCCAATGGGAATGGAGTTGTAATAACCACAATACCTGAAAGAAAGTCATATTTACCTTTGTTCGTCTGCCGTTAAGCTTCTTTGGGATTACCAAAATACTTGAATGTCAATCTTGACTGCTTGAGTGTGTGATTATCATAATTTTGCCTTTATTTTCTACTCTCTGAATGTATCAAGAAACTGAAAAATTGCAAATTATGAAGTGAAATGCTCCCATAAATGAATGATATCATTTAACAGTTTTTTTTTTTGAGAAATGCTCATATAATGCTTATATATTTATATTGCCATATAAAATGTTACATATATAGGCTGTTGGCTTTATAGTAATAATAATAATAATAATAATAATAATAATAATAATAATAATAATCTTATATTCTCCCAAAGTTGTGTACAGTATATCTCATTCAAATGAATATATCACCCAAAATATGTCATGTTGCAGTTGGTGACGAAGCAGTCAAGAGCCAATGAGCATTTGATATCACTGACATAAAGCCTTTGCTTGAACTTTTCCCTAGGCAGCAATTTTTTTTTTATTTGTAGATAACTTATTACAAATTTTGTGTCCCATGGCAAACAAGATGTGTGATTTATGGTTGTGGTTAAATGATTATCCTAGACTAATGAATGCTGTGATATCTTCATTGTCATTTCTTACAATCAGGTATAATCTCTCACTTCTAATTTGATTTGTAAATATTTGTGTTTTTCCTACTTTGATAATGCTTAATAAAATGTCATGAAATTGCAGTGATACACTTTAATTGCTGGGTTTTATGATTTTGTTCTCTAAGTGTAAGCACTGGTCATGATTTGACCCAGTGAATAAAAATCAACAAGAAAGAAAATGATAATAACAGTGATCAGTAAGACAGATGCACCTTAAATGAGTAGTTCACTTCCAGAATGAAAATTCTGTCATCATTTACTCACCCTCCACTTGTTCCAAACCTATATGAGTTTCTTTCTTCTGTTGAACTCAAAAGAAGATATTTTGAGAAATGTTGGTATCTGAACAGTTGATGGGCACCATTCCATAGTAGGAAGAAAAAAATCCTATGGAAGTCAATGGTGACAGAATTTTCATTCTGGAAGTGAACTTCTCCTTTCAATGAAAATTACAACAGAGGTTGTTTTTTTTAGCATCAGGATGAGACTAAAGCGAGAGATATTTTGATTTATGTCATCGGAAATGAGGAGGAAAACTTTTCCATTTCCGCTTGCTTTCTTCAGTAATAGGTTTGCTTTGCCCCCAATATATTTGTTAACCAGCACAGTACTGTATGTTCTTTGATGCTGTGTAATTGTAAATTGTTTATTCTACATTTACACAAGATCAATGAGCCTGTGGTGAATCTCTTACCTGCTGTAGCTGTTTCCATTTATCTTAACATTTATTTCCACAACATATAATCCCCCACTTACCCACATTCAGTTATGACTAAATGTGTCTAAAGATATACTGCATTCACATTGGAAGTTGGATTCATTGAAACTTATATTCAACAGATGTCCATATTAGCTCAGACGCCCTTGGCGCACTTATCGTTTTATTTACCTTTGTTAACCCATTCTTCTTTGCTTTTATGTTTGTTCATTTTTAGAACAGCATAATCAATTATAGTCAATAATCATCATCGATTATTGTCAATCAGGTTGTCTCTCTCTTTGTCGTTTCTCATCCAGCTTCCTAGTCACTCCAGCAGTGTCCTTCCAAAAACAGCTTGTAACTTACAGCCTGCTCATCAATCCTAGCAGTCTTTTCAGCATCCAGCCAGAGACGGGGGAGATCAGTCTGACCCGTACTATAGACTATGAGAGTGACCAGCACCGCTACCTGCTGCTGGTGCGGGCCAGTGAGAATCAGCACAGTCTCAGTAGTGCTGCTGAGGTGAGTGCTGCAGGTGCACAGACAAACTCAGACAGGATGCCCATTTAAGAATTGTACATATTCTGCACATTCAATCAACTCTCTTTCAATCATACAATGATTATGCTTTGTTATGCATGGTTGTATTTATTTATTTGTACCTTTGGTGCTTATATATTTGAGATATAATAGATTTTTCATAGATACAATTTAAATTTCTGTATTGCTAAAACGTCTACATTTTTAGACTTTTTTTTAGATTTTGTTTTGAGTCTGACGAGAAAATGGTTCATCTCTTGGTTCTAACTTCATTACTTCCAGAGTAAGATCTAATGAGTGATATATGGGAAGTTTTTGCACATAATTAAATGTATAGTAGTGGAAATGTATTCATTAGGTAGTTTATGGGACAAACATCAATATCACAGTACAATGACTGTCAAGAAGACTGTTGAAAATAATCTTCAGTATTATGATTTTTTTCTAGGGAATTTGACTTCAGTAGAAATGTAACTTTTATTGAACACTATATTTATTTCCCAGGCATGCGCGTCTCAAAATGTTGATATAGATGGTTGCATAGCAACAGGGAAAAAAGTGAAATCAGTGAAATAACAGTGAAATAGCAGTTAAATAAATGTGTAGTGAAAAAAGATGACTGAAGATATCTGCAGCAACAACTCTTATAATTGTATGCTTTTGGCTGTTCATTCAGTGTCATTTTTTAATGCAAAAATTATATGGTTGAAAAGATAGCTAAGATAAATATATATATGTGTGTGTAGAAAGAAATATGGATAAACAGAAAGGTAAAAAATAAATAAAAGCAAAACAACTATTTTATTTTGAATGCGGGGTCACAGCCACTAGGAAAAATGAATTACTATGAATCCCTATTAAAACGCATGTTAGACCAAAATTATTCCCCTAAATTTTGTCCAAGCTAGCCAAACACAGCTGTCTAAACAAACAGTTTCATATTGAGCACTATTGCTGATTTGCAAGCTCCCAGCATTGCAGAATGAATACATTATGAGGTTAGTGTGTTATAATCTTATTTTTTTTACCACTTGCTGGCATTATTTATGTTGCTGTGCCGTTTTTTTTGTTTTTTTTTTGTTTATTGTTTAGTGATTTAAACAATACAGATTTCAATTTTAATATTATATACAGTATAAACTTCACTTCTCTTTTAAATTGAGACAGACTGATGATAATGGTCATGTTATTTATGCTTTCCATTTAAATTTTGGTCACTTAAGAATGAAAAAACTATAATCGAGAGGGTTGTGGCCCTGTGGGAAATGTAAGGGCAACAATTTAACTGAAATCAAAGAGATGCCTAGCAGTCCGTTCATTCCTTTTACAGTAACATTCCCCTGGAGGTTGTAGTCTCGCCTCATCATGACTTGATCTGGCTGCTCAGTGATCCATACATCTGTCCTGGCCTGAGGCAGGCCAGCCAAGATCTCAGCTATTAGCTGGGGAATGTCTCAAAACAATGCAGCCACCGTGTGTCTAACTGCAGCTGGGGAGCAAGAGGGCATGCAGACAAAAAAAAATTATACTAAAAGACTGACGGACGCTTTTGACTTCAAGAATCCTGTGAGACGTGGTCCTGAGAGAAATTTGCCTGTTGCATTCTCTGCATTTAGGCACACCGCAGCCCATCTGTCACCCTGAAATCACTCTATAACTCTTCTCACATCTCAGTTTCTGGAGACCCCGAACACCTGTGCTAAAGCACCAGTTACAACAAACAAAACAAAACACGGTTTAAAATGACATAATTAACAATGTGCAAAATTAAAAGGCTTCAGAATCAATAATTATGGCCTATTCAGTCACAGTTATTAGGGTTCTCACAGTCATGGACAATCTGAAAATATCAGCAATATTTGTAATTGTTTTCCAGGCCTGAAAAATTCATGGAAATTTCAGTAGTGGATACACATTTTCTATTTATCATCTGCTGTAAAAAATATCGCCTAGAAATTGCTTGTGTAGAATAGCATTTCCTTGCATTCCATAGTGATGTGTGATATGTGAGTAAATTGATCTTTTGAGTCTGTTTATGTCAATAAACGAGTCAAACCAGTTCACAATATGTTAATCAGCTTTGTATTCCCGGATTGTGTCCGTCATATCAGATCTCTTTATTGATACAATGTCTTTGTATATCATTGGTTTTACTATCAACAGAATAACCACTGAGAGTAAAACTTATAAAATAGGGCTCTGAACAGTTACTGAGAACACAAAACTTTCCCTCAGGGATCTTTCTGTCTTGTAGCTCTTCTTTTTGATTCAGCCTTATATGAAGGCGTTTTATTTCATGTGATTTTGGATTATGGTCTCTGTTAGTGTTAGAAATATGGGTAACCTTGTAGACTCTGAACTGTTGTCACAATTTTGACCATTTCTGACTTGGCCTGTCTATTTTCATCTTTCCGGTCTCTAAAATTGCAGTGAGTTGGTTATTAAAGTCATTTAGCAACTGCCAGGAAGCTTGAGCAACAGTGTCAGGGCAAAAGCACTCACACAGGGTTTTTCCTCCTCCAGACAGCAACATTCAGCTTAATTCTTATGGGAGGCATTAAGTGCCTCTTTTAGCTTCCCTGATGCTTTTGCAACAAATTGGGAAAGAGGCATAACATGGCAATGAGATCCTGGAGGACGTTTGTCCTTTTGTGTTGAGATTCACTACTTAACAACTACTGTATTTTCAGGCACAGATGTTTGGTTATGTAAGAACATAACTTCTTGACACCAAATAATTTTGCAGTGAGAAAGGGCCAAGATAAAACTGGATAATGGCTTTAAAGCGTGATAGGATATGGCCTTTTAAGCTTGTTAAAAGAGCTTTTTTTGGCAAGGCATTCTCAGACTCTGAGAAACACTGGGGACAGTCATAGTGATGTTCTAACTTACTCCCTGATAACAATTCACAAATTCAAGATATTATGATCTTCCCATTTGTTCCATTAACAATTCACAACTTTCTATTCTGTGCCTTCTGGCTTCCTTTCCGCTTGTTTTTCACAGGTGCGAGTGATCATCACAGATGAGAATGACTGTGTTCCTGAGTTCCAGCAGTCCATTTATAGCAAAGACGGTGTCCCTGAGACAGTCACGACTGCAACATCGCTTCTGCAGGGTAAGGCTGTGGACCTGTGTTACCTTGAGGTCCTTGTATAACAACACATAATAGAATGGCCTACTGTTAATTTTTTACATTTAATTTTAGTCACTTTGTCATGCATTTCATTTTAGTAGAAGTGACATTTGAAACCAAATATTCAAATATCTGATATATTTATTTAAACATGTATCACCATTTAACAAAAGCAACATGCAGAAACGGTCCTTGTGAAAACCTCATGAAAATAATATTCTGAGTTCACTATTGTAATACAATATTGTAAATTCTCAAGTGATTCATTGCTCATGTTTTAGGCAAGGGGCAGATTTTAGTGTGTTGTTGCAGAAAGAGTGTATTAGCAATGTGACTTTGTTCTGTCTAGTGCACAACTTGCTTAATTTTGTGCAGATGCATGCTGCAATATTACGTTATATGGTCAGCAAGTAATTTTTTTGAAAGAAAGAAATGAAAGCTTTTATTCAACAAGGACACATTAAATTGTTTCTTGAGCACCAACTCAGCATATTAGAATGATTTCTGAAGGATCATGTGACACTGAAGACTGGAGTATTGCCTGCTGAAAATTCAGCTTTGACATCATGGGAATAAATTACATTTTAATGTATAGTAAAGTAGAAAACATGTCTTTTAAATTGTAATATTATCTAACAATATTGCTGTTTTTACTGTATTTTTGGCACACAAGAGACAAAACGATCCCAAAACTTTTAAATGGTACTGTATATCTGTTTGGGTTATTTAGTAATTCAGTTTACTGGTGTTGATTTACTGTGGGTAAATCCACAACATTATTGGCTATAATTGGAGATATATATATATATACACACACACATACACACACAAGTGCCCGGTTGCATAAAGCACCTTAAGTGTAATTTTCTGTAACGATTCAGTCCACTGAAGGCAAGCGTAGTGAAGAACCCAAGTGCAGTTTATTTACAGTGTGATCCAAACATCCAAACAATAATCCGAGACTTGACTTGACATGAACAGACTTGACGAGTCATGAACAGACTTGACTTGACATGAACAGACTTGACTTGACATGAACAGACTTGACTTGACTTGACTTGACGTGGCATGAACAGACTAGACTCACCGACAGCGGGTTACAACATCAATACACGATAAGGGCACAATGGGAACATGTTGGCTAGTTATAGCAGACAAGGAGGGTCACATGACATGAACAAACCAATGGGAAACAAGACACATGACTAAGACAACCAATCAGAACATGACACAATGAACAGAGGAACCAATAGCATGAAGACATGAGGGCAAGGGAAGCATGACACAAACAGCATGAAACAATTACAAAATAAAAGACATGAAAACATGAACATGAAACAAAACCCAAACACCAAACCCCACATTACATTTTCCCTTAAGATCGCCCTTAGGTTTCCCTTACACTTAAGGGCATTGCATAAAATATCCCTTAAATAATACTTAAGGGTATCTTTAGGTGAAACGTAATAAACCCTTAAAATTTATCTTAAGTATCCCTTAAAACCCATTAAGTGTTGCATAAAGCCCCTTAACTGTCATTTTCCTATTTTTTAACTTTAAACCGCATAAACACATTTCATTACACCAAATACACAAAATAATGTTCTTTTTAGCAGAAAAAGACCCCTTTAAGAAAAGACCTGTGCCGGTTGCATAAAGCACCTTAAGTGTAATTTTCCCTTAAGATCGCCCTTAAGTTTCCCTTACACTTAGGGGCGTTGCATAAAATATCCCTTAAATGTTACTTAAGGGTTTCTTTAGGTGAAACGTCATAAACCCTTAGAATTTCTCTTAAGTATCCCTTAAACCCAATAAGTGTTGCATAAAGCCCCTTAACTGTCATTTTCCTAAGGATAACATAAGGATTGGAAATGTCACCTTAAGTGTTACACAAAAGTCTTCTACAAGTCATGATCGGCCGCTTTGTTAAACAGATTTTAATTTACGCATTTATTCACATATATAAACATTGATCAAATTACATACAGCACATAACGTTAATTAGCTCAAACGTGAGTGTGTCACACTCGAGAGCAAATTTATATTCCATAATATTTTATTCCTGTATTTTCCTACATATTACCTGGAGATGACTTGAAAAACACACATAAACCATATATTGTTGCAATCGTGAGTTTATTGTGTTTACGTTTCTGCTTTTTATTTAGCTTAGGCTACTTCTGTGAATCCGGTTTGGACTTTCATACCCTCCGAACCCTCCGGCTTCAAACCTGAATTAGTTTATTTAGTCTGTTGAACATAAACGTTATTTTTGAAGAATGTGGATAACCAAGCAGTTGCTGGTCCAGTGACTTCCATGGTATTTGTTTCCTACTGTAAAAGTCAGTGTGAACCAGCTACTCTTTGGTTACTCACATTCTTCAAAATATCTTCTTTTGTGTTCAGCACAAAAAATAAATTAATACAGGTTTGGGACAAAATGTGAGTAAATGACAGAAATTAAATTTTTGGGTGAACTATCCCTTTAATGACAGTGGCAGCATGTTTAGTAGCTACTGTCCCTTTAAGAGCTGCACGCGTTTCTCTCTCAACTGTTTACTTTAATTTTAGACATAACCAACTGTTTATATGTAAACCTTGTGTGTTTTTGACAGTATTAGACGCGAAAGACAACTTAGTCCAATAATCAGACGCTTTTTGACAGGCTCTCAGTGGCGCTTCATGAGTACGCGCTCAGAAAAAGCGCATGCAGAACAGCACGTGAATTAAATGTTTAACCGGTATTGCTTTAAAGT